GAACGAATTTTCATTAAAAAATCAGCCTATACGAGCGTTTGTTATTGTGTTGTGTGTTACGAGAATTTTGTAGTTAATCAAAAAACTAGCATTTTTGTCAGCTATGTTATAAAAGAATTTGTTCATGCTTTTAGCTGTGCGTTTATCGAGTTATGGATGCACTTGGGAAGTTTGGAGAGCACTGAAGCTAGAGTTGCACTCGGCTATCTCCTCGTGCAACTCTTACGCATCTTTCCTGCTCTCCAAACTTCCCGCGTGCATCCATAACTCGATATACACCAGCTAAATTGTCACTTACAGCTTCCTCAGAAGGTCTACTTCGCTCACTAAAAAAATACAAAAAAATGTTTACATTGTATGTAAATTGTAGAAAACTGTAAATACAGAGAAGAAACTGAAAAAGCGACAGTGAATTGTCATTTCTTCAAAATGACTTTGTGCAACAGACTTACCTTGCTTCAGCCATAGTTTGTTGTCTAGAAGTGGAAAATTATAAGAAAGAGTTTCAATTTCAGACTTCAATTCGTTTTAACAATCAACATACTTGTGGTAGCAGTCCAACAAATAGTTTTAAGCAAAGAAAGGAAGATGAATATTTAAAATATAAACTGAGGTACAGTAGAAACTAGGGCTTTTATACACGCGTTTTTCCACCGTTTTCGCTGCTTCAAGTGCCTCATCCTGCAATGGCGCGAAATGGTCTGTCGCATGTCACCCATGGTAAAGTGAAAGAGTGATTCCACATCTCCCCCTTCCCCCCAACATCCTCTCAATAGCCCGACTCTCAATTCCAGTAGTTGTGGCCGGTTTTCGGGTTATAGGATATTAAAAGAGGGGATCCTTATCTTTTTCAAGGTATTTTGGACAAGGAGTATACGAAGGTCAGTTCGTATGAAAACGACCGATGTCCTTTTAATACATGGCCTGTGCTCTGTGAGATTTTCAATAGTGATAGTGTTCATGAAGTACGTCCAGAGTAATTATCTAATTTCTTTATCTTTTTAGATTCAAAGCGATAAATTTCTGGTCCAATGATGTCTTTTGGCGGGATTTCCTCGATTCTTCTGCTTTCATTTTTGGAGTTGAGAAACTCAGTCAGCAAACTTACATCTCTTCGTGTCTTTGAAAGAGTGTTCTTGTTTTTTTGGTCTTCGATAAACTTGTCTATAGGTTTGTCTAGAGACACAAATCTTCTTGATTGTTCAGCCATCCTCAAAAATACCTCCTAGCTCTTGATAAGTTTGAATTACGAACAACTCGAGTACACCGAAAATATTATCTTGTCAAAGCTGCCCGACAAAGCTACCCGCGATGACCGCGGAAAAGCCCGCAAAAACACAATTCGCTTAAACCGTGGTTTGTGATTAGATGAAACGATTTTTTAACTTGTGAGAAACTCGTTTCGCCTCTCTGATTGGTCGAAGTAAAATCCGAAACGCTTTTTTACACAGCAAAATTTGATGCGAAAATCTCAGTATATATAAAATAATAAGTATTCTTTCATAGGCATGGTGACCTGTGTTCTGACCAGTCAGCGAAAGTGACCTGTATTTAAGACCCGTAGTGGAAGTACCCATTAAAGAAATCCTTTCGATTTACTTACAATACCAGACGAATTATATCTCAAAATCTCTGAAATCCTATCATTCGAGAGAGTTGCTAGGTTACTCGAGAGAGTATCTAGGTTACTCCATCAAGACTTTTTAAGACACAAAGGCGTCAAGAACTTCCATTAATTAACTGTATATTGCCAGTATTCCCTACAAATCCCGGAATACCAATTTGCAGACCAGTTTCCAAGAAATTTATAAAATTTATTATTATTATTATTATTATTATTATTATTATTATTATTATTATTATTGTTATTGCTAATACTCTCATATAAAGGTGTTTAATACGGTTTTCATCTACTCCGGCCAACAACCATCAAGAAGTATCTTTTACTTTACTTTTGCTCAGCCTACATCTCCAAAACTTTCCTAAGGACTGACATTGAAGACCATATTTTGGAATAAGTTGAATGGATGCGTCGACACCTATGGTCCTCTGATTTTCTTTTAACCTCAGCAGTATCGTCCCCAATGCTCCCACCACTATGGGCATCATCATTGTCCTTACACCTCACATCTTTTGAATTTGTCTTGTGAGATTTTGGTATTTTTCTACTCATCCTCTTTTGCTCGCACCCTTCCATCTTTCATTGTCCATAATTGCCACGTCTATAATGTTGCAGTTGTTCCTTTTTTTGGTCAATGACCAATAGATCCAATCTCCTAGCCTCAATTTCATGGTCTGTTCGTATACTGAAATCCCACAGCATCTTGTAATCCTCATTTTCAAGTACACTGTCCGGCACATGTTCATACCACCTCTCATTTCATTGAAACCCATATTTTCCTGACAGGTCCCAATGGATTTTTTCCCATAACTGAGCGAATCCTCACATGCTCATTGGTCGAGAGCTATGGTCCGATGATGAGAGTATAGACCATGGAAATGACATAACATGTCATGCAGTGTCGGCTGTTTGTTTTTGGTTTTTGTAAAAATAATTTTACTCCTCAACATGGACAAAAAAGAACCAAATTTTAACATATGGGGAGAAATTTCTGACAGTGAGTTGGTACTTGAAGCTGCAAAAGTAGAGCAAAAAATATGCAAAACAACAATAAAACCGTCGCAGGAAATTAAAAATTAAATGTTTTTGTAAAAAACAAATCGACCACAATTTTTCATGGTCTACACTCTTGTAGACCGTAGAAATGATGCCATAAAATGTTCAAAACTTTGCAGTGCGACTCGTGGTTCCAGTTGAGTTTTGAACATCTTATGACGTAATTTCCATGGTATATAAGGGGGTGTTTACATGAGAAAACTCCCACCGGCGCGAGTTTCATACCAGGATGACTTTTTGATTTTGTATCCCGTTTACATGATAACTGGGTCATTTTATATCTCGCTATTTGAGGGTACACTTCATGTGAATAAAATATGTCATTCAAAATTGCAAACATTAAGCATGTGCTACCCGTTCCAGTCCACCGGCAGACCGATTTCACACCGCAACAAGTGGTTGTTTTGCGTTTAGATGATACTGTTGCGAGATTTTGTACCGGGGTGAAATTCTCGCCATGCTACAACAACCAGGGTGAACTCACGCTGGAGTGACTTGTGCCGGCATGGTGGTATCATGTAAACAAATGTAGAGCCATGAGAGGGAACCGGAGTGAACTTGCTTCGGGCGAAAGTTGCCCCAGTGTCATGTAAACATGCACCCCCTAAGAGTGTACACCATGGAAAATTGTGGTCGATTTGTTAAGTAGATTGCTTTAGCTATTATTATTGTTATTATTATTATTATTATTATTATTATTACTATTATTACTATTATTACATGTAATAACTTGGAAGGTCCGCTTTAAGGTATGTTAGATGCTATTGTGACATTTCAAGATGTTCCAGATTTGGATCCAACACACCGACAACACTAACAACCTATTTACTCGATTTCTTGCGCTTGGAATATGCACAGGCTGCCCACGAACTCACAGAGAAGCTTATTGAAGCAATGATAATTAAATAATCATGATCATAAAGGAAATATTTAACTGTTGTGATGTAGTCGACTCAGTTACATAACATTTGGTTTCCAGATTTATATTCAAAAGTGTTAAGCGAAGGATTTTTTAATCCATTTTTTGGAAAGAAAGGGAAATTTGACATCATTTCCAAGGGGAAAACATCAGACTTTGATTAGTCTCCCAAGCAGCTAGTTTTGACTCATCAAGCAGCAAAATGCTTGACAAAGGTGGTTGCGTGGTAGACTACAACTTGATACCAACTGCCAGGTATCAGCATTTACAACTAGGATATATTGTATTATCGTTATTATTACGTAATGAAATCGGGAGCTCCGCTTTTCAGATTGCTTTTCAGGTCCATTGGCTGGATTGGGTAGGTCAAGTCCATGAACATTTAATTCATGCTTTAGCAAACACTTCATGTAAAAGTACTTTCTGTTGCAGCCTGGGTGCCTGCAAGGATGTTCCACTTTAGGTGGTGCAGGAGCAGAAAATTCTTCTTGTATTGAGTTTAGGTCGGTTACACCATTCATCACAAATTTGTCGATCGTGTGACCAGCATGCTTGTGTAACCACTGACGCTTTTCTGTCTGGTTAGTCCATTTTAAGGATAGTTCAAAACTGTTGATGGTGGGTGTTGAGTTTACATTTTCCATTCCAAAGTACTCTAGTGCAGCTGATGTGATGAATGCATCCAAGTTGATTGCAAAAAACTTCTTTACTTTGTCATAGTTGTCCATGACATTAAGTAATCCATTTTTATTACCAGAAACAATGGATTGGATGCGTACGCCCCCCAGTCCATAAGAGAGTTTGGCTTGTTCAGTATTTTCAACACGGTCTGAAAAAGAGGTTTTAAATCAATTTGCGAAAAGAAAATCAATTTACTCTCTCCTTGATATGTCCATGTGATACCTACATTTATGGATACTATAAGAGGATAAACAACATCTGACATATATCATTTCAGTGATGAGTATGTTAGAGTATGACGAGAGCAATTTAGATTTTTTTGGGTCTTGTCCTCCCTATGCAAAGAAATTAATGTGTCCAATAGCTTAGAGCTAGTGAAGTTTGCAATTGGAAGGGGTTCAAATTGCAGAAGTACTGTAAGACATATTGTTTATATGGGAATGTCAAGCCCTGTGAACCAGCATCCAGTAAATATTGTTTCAGTATAAAATCTAACATCACAAATGTTCTCTTCCATTTTGTGCTTTTCTTTAAATTGACATTTGCTTAATGCAACTTGCAAGAAAAAAATGCTTAACTATAAGCCACTAATTAATCAACTTACATCATATGCCATTCTGATGGCATGCCAATCCTCATTCTTTGGCCACAGTCCCTCAAGTCTTTCTTCCTTGGTTCTTCCATCTTGTCTAGCCATTTGCACATTTCTCGCCCTCTCTTCGGTCAGTTGGTCCCCCCAAAGAAGACTGTCTTTAATCCTTTTTCCTTGTCTGATCTAGGCACATACTTTTCCTGTATTGTTTCCACGATGTCTATCATGTCATCGTCAAGGTTCTCATTTTTAGGAAGAACACCCAGAGGAACCTGAATATTGAATAAGAATAATAAGAATGAACTTGTAAACTTTTTCTCTTTTGTTAGTAAGATAGGATACTGGGACACTTTGTCAGCGATAACATTGTACTAAATTTGATATTGTGTAATTCCAGAAAATATCCATACTCCCCCCACAGAAAGAATTGGAAATTCCTGGTGGCGGTAAGGGGTTGTTGGTTGGTTCTCAAAGGCCCAAAATTTTAAGTAAATGTATGAAGCTTGACTGGAATTTCCAGAGAGGGGGGGGGGTCTAAGGAAAAATCCCTTCCGTGGGGGAGGTATGGATTATTTTCGGAACCATATTGATAAAGTCCATAACTAGTAGGTATAAATTGCATTACCATGATAATTATCAGAATGTGCAAGCTTAAAAGACAGAAAAGAAACGCTATTAGATGATGATTTAAGAAAGGGAAATGATTCTTTATGGCAGGAATATGATATAACAAGCACTGCTATGTGTACACAAGGTAGAATAATGGGACAGATGGAAACGCCCAGTCTAACCTGTGTGCAAATGTCTCAGGGATAGGACTTCTGTTTAATTTCAACCTCTAAAAATAACTTAATTGAAATTTACACATGCCGGCCAATGCCGTAAGATTTCCTCTCCATCCCATTATTTTTTCTTGGTGTACAGTAAGGATATGTCAACACAAAAGATATCCCAGCTTAGTCTGCAGCAGGAGTCTAAAGTAATTAGCAAAAATATAAACAATCACCATGTTAAAACTGGGAGTGAGAGGCACGTGGTGCTAGCTTCACTGTACAACATGGAGCATTAGTAGGTGCCATATGTTGTACAATAAAGTGGAAACTGGTCTGTTCTCACAGTTTTGGTGTTTGTGGAGGGTATATCCTTTCATTCATCAAGTGGCTAGAAAATATATAGTAATAATGATACTTAAATTGTTATTTTCAGTGAAATAGTTTGAACCTGGATTTTTGCCCATGTATTTGGACACCCTAAAAGGGTGCAGAAAAATGTAGGGTACTTGAGGCAGAACCTCCCCTTGTAAAATGCTGTCGAGTAGCCCCTTTGACTCTAAAAACCAGCACAACCATAACGAGGTGGCAGTTGCCACTTAAAGTGAGATATTTACAACCACTTAGCACATATCTTGCACAATAATGTAAGCAAGAAATCTAAATACTGTAAGCAGCCTAGAGGGTGCGATATATTCCTCAGCTTAGCTTCAGCCTAAGTGGGACCATAAAAAGGAGTTCGTTTTCTCATACCGGTTATTTATGATGGTCATATCTTCATTTAAATTTGTATCACTGCAGTTTACATAATCTTCATTATTTTCAACTGAATATATAATACCTTATATATATTGTTGGTTTATTATCTTATTAGTTCTATTTAATGTTTAAGTGACTTTATTAATCTCACCACTTTTGATGGCTGCTGCATTACGGCACTGTATTCATGTGGAATGTGCCATACGACTACAGGCCTGAACAAACTGAACTTTTCTAACTGCGCGCCCAATACACGTGTCCAAATTGGAATGAAATCTCTTTTGAGGAGATCTATGTCTCTTGCAGATGGAAGGAAATCTTCTACCTTAATTTCCTCTACTGTGATTCTGCTATGGTCTGGAAGGCTCTTGCCAGACACATCATCCTTTATGGCAACTATATTAAACATGTGTAGAGAGTCATTTTTGTTGTCATTGGACATGTGTTTCACATTGATATGAAGATCCAGATTGTCGCCGATAATCTGGTAACCTGCGATGTTTTCTTCAACCTTGTTCTTTGCGATGTTGCAGGCTTCAATTGGATGACATACACCTTCTTCAATTGCAACAGCGACCACTGTTTCAAAGCACTTCATAACTTCTTCCACAGAGTATACAGGTGCTTGATTCTGAAACAAGTTTTGTACCACCTCATATGGTGTGGTCACCCGACAAGCCAGCTGCAGACAGGACACACCCAGTGTTGTGATTTCATTTTCTAATCGATCAGGCACTGCCAAACACATTTCTTTTCCAGCTTTCTTTTGGAAGATGACGTCCTTAAATTCACAAATGGTAGGCTGGAAGCCAAGATACATGGTGTCTTTTAATGAGGTTTCTATTGAATCTAGGATTTCCGACTTTCTTTGTGAGCTGTCATTTTCATTCTTCCATTTCAAAACTTCACGATCATGTTCCAGCCTCAACTATTGTGCCTTCCTGTGTATTGTATCTGGATTTGGACACACCCCACGCCTGTAAAGGGTTTCGAGGCCCTGAAATAGTAAACTCCAATTTTAATCACGAGCTTTTCAGGTCCATTGGCTGGATTGGGTAGGTCAAGTCCATGAACATTTAATTCATGCTTTAGCAAACACTTCATGTAAAAGTACTTTCTGTTGCAGCCTGGGTGCCTGCAAGGATGTTCCACTTTAGGTGGTGCAGGAGCAGAAAATTCTTCTTGTATTGAGTTTAGGTCGGTTACACCATTCATCACAAATTTGTCGATCATGTGACCAGCATGCTTGTGTAACCACTGACGCTTTTCTGTCTGGTTAGTCCATTTTAAGGATAGTTCAAACTGTTGATGGTGGGTGTTGAGTTTACATTTTCCATTCCAAAGTACTCTAGTGCAGCTGATGTGATGAATGCATCCAAGTTGATTGCAAAAAACTTCTTTACTTTGTCATAGTTGTCCATGACATTAAGTAATCCATTTTTATTACCAGAAACAATGGATTGGATGCGTACGCCCCCCAGTCCATAAGAGAGTTTGGCTTGTTCAGTATTTTCAACACGGTCTGAAAAAGAGGTTTTAAATCAATTTGCGAAAAGAAAATCAATTTACTCTCTCCTTGATATGTCCATGTGATACCTACATTTATGGATACTATAAGAGGATAAACAACATCTGACATATATCATTTCAGTGATGAGTATGTTAGAGTATGACGAGAGCAATTTAGATTTTTTTGGGTCTTGTCCTCCCTATGCAAAGAAATTAATGTGTCCAATAGCTTAGAGCTAGTGAAGTTTGCAATTGGAAGGGGTTCAAATTGCAGAAGTACTGTAAGACATATTGTTTATATGGGAATGTCAAGCCCTGTGAACCAGCATCCAGTAAATATTGTTTCAGTATAAAATCTAACATCACAAATGTTCTCTTCCATTTTGTGCTTTTCTTTAAATTGACATTTGCTTAATGCAACTTGCAAGAAAAAAATGCTTAACTATAAGCCACTAATTAATCAACTTACATCATATGCCATTCTCATGGCATGCAAATCCTCATTCTTTGGCCACAGTCCCTCAAGTCTTTCTTCCTTGGTTCTTCCATCTTGTCTAGCCATTTGCACATTTCTCGCCCTCTCTTCGGTCAGTTGGTCCCCCCAAAGAAGACTGTCTTTAATCCTTTTTCCTTGTCTGATCTAGACACATACTTTTCCTGTATTGTCTCCACGATGTCTACCATGTCATCGTCAAGGTTCTCATTTTTAGGAAGAACACCCAGAGGAACCTGAATATTGAATAAGAATAATAAGAATGAACCTGTAAACTTTTTCTCTTTTGTTAGTAAGATAGGATACTGGGACACTTTGTCAGCGATAACATTGTACTAAATTTGATATTGTGTAATTCCAGAAAATATCCATACTCCCCCCACAGAAAGAACTGGAAATTCCTGGTGGCGGTAAGGGGTTGTTGGTTGGTTCTCAAAGGCCCAAAATTTTAAGTAAATGTATGAAGCTTGACTGGAATTTCCAGAGAGGGGGGGGGGTCTAAGGAAAAATCCCTTCCGTGGGGGAGGTATGGATTATTTTCGGAACCATATTGATAAAGTCCATAACTAGTAGGTATAAATTGCATTACCATGATAATTATCAGAATGTGCAAGCTTAAAAGACAGAAAAGAAACGCTATTAGATGATGATTTAAGAAAGGGAAATGATTCTTTATGGCAGGAATATGATATAACAAGCACTGCTATGTGTACACAAGGTAGAATAATGGGACAGATGGAAACGCCCAGTCTAACCTGTGTGCAAATGTCTCAGGGATAGGACTTCTGTTTAATTTCAACCTCTAAAAATAACTTAATTGAAATTTACACATGCCGGCCAATGCCGTAAGATTTCCTCTCCATCCCATTATTTTTTCTTGGTGTACAGTAAGGATATGTCAACACAAAAGATATCCCAGCTTAGTCTGCAGCAGGAGTCTAAAGTAATTAGCAAAAATATAAACAATCACCATGTTAAAACTGGGAGTGAGAGGCACGTGGTGCTAGCTTCACTGTACAACATGGAGCATTAGTAGGTGCCATATGTTGTACAATAAAGTGGAAACTGGTCTGTTCTCACAGTTTTGGTGTTTGTGGAGGGTATATCCTTTCATTCATCAAGTGGCTAGAAAATATATAGTAATAATGATACTTAAATTGTTATTTTCAGTGAAATAGTTTGAACCTGGATTTTTGCCCATGTATTTGGACACCCTAAAAGGGTGCAGAAAAATGTAGGGTACTTGAGGCAGAACCTCCCCTTGTAAAATGCTGTCGAGTAGCCCCTTTGACTCTAAAAACCAGCACAACCATAACGAGGTGGCAGTTGCCACTTAAAGTGAGATATTTACAACCACTTAGCACATATCTTGCACAATAATGTAAG